ACACTCACCTCTGGACAGTTTGTCGCGTAAAGACCGATGCATTTTGAAGCAACAGAAGCTACTGATTGTAAGTGCAGTAATCCGGAGCCACAAAGAAGAACGGTCTCATATGCCTTCAGGAGAGTAACAGGAGTATTTAAATTGGCAGAAGTTAAGAAGCCGAAAAACCAACATGAGGGAATACAAAGTGAGAAAGTAGCATAATTTTAAACTAAATAACTGTGATTGTGAAGATAAAACAGTGGTAACTAAAGGCCGAGTATATCAATCTGTTCCGCGAGACTATGAAGTGCACAGAACATAATTCTCCAGGAAAGCGTCCCTGGTTCAAACCAGGGCGTTTGTATATATGTATGTAGGTATCCAAACGTACATCACAGTTTCGCGTCACAAAATAATTACTTCAAATTACAGCAGCACTTCATAGTTTAGTGCAAGTTGAAAAGTCAAATGGAATAAAATCTTGATCAACTTCAAACTATATGAAATGAGACAGACGACAATACGAGTGTGGACATGGAATATGGAAAATACCTGTTTGTAGTTTATCCACTCGTACGGTCCAGTAGGAGAAGACCGCCGACCGAGGAATTGTCGATCAGCTAAAATGCGCCGAAAAAGTATGTGGTAAAAGGTATAGAACGCTTCATCGTGCGACAAGACAATGAAGAGGAATTTACCTACGCATAGTCTTCTGACGTTAAGGTCAAATGTATTTTTATGGACTTTTACCTACGGATTCCACGGCATCAAACTTTACCTAAGCAAAATTCAAAACTGTGTTTTGTTTACTTATTTATGATGTGGTACGGTGCATTTCTAAGCATTGAAAAAATGGTTACAGTTCAACTTAAAACTCTCTTATAGTACGAAATGTCTCATCTGTTTTTAAATGAATAACTGCCAAATATAAAGTTTCCGTGCTCGAGTATCTACTCTTCTGAATAAAATGGAGGCCATAAGAATAAACGTACGACCACGCGCTACTGAGTTCTGAAGGAAGTCGAAAACACAGTTTACGTTATCGAAGCCGCCAATCAAGTTCCCATCGCCAACCAGCTTAGAAACGTAGATGCCATTCTGCAAGGTTAGGAAAAAAGGAAGACAAATTAAAGAACGTAGACGGTAGATAAACACCGAGTACGGAGCATCATAAAATAAAAAAATATGCCTTATGGAAAATAACATAAAGGGCTAAACGAACCTCAGCATCTTTAATGAAGGCCTCGTTGTCAAATCTAAAGGTGCTCACAGGCAGTAGGCAACCTGATTTCATATTTGAGAACTCTAAAGGCAAAAGAACAGAAAAAAGCTAAGACTGTAGGCATCAGACATCACAATTGTAAAAATTCGTCGACAGTCTTATTCCAATGGAGTAAAATATAACTAAATAGGCGGAGGAGTATAGCTTTAATAATTTTCTGATTGAAAAGTATGCTAAAACCATTGCTGCTTTATGTTGAAATTGATCGCCCTTTACTTTAAATTTGGAGCAAAAAAGTCCAGATATACCGTTATCTTGGTCAGCAACGTGCAACATTCATATGAAAAAATACGACTACCTAATCTGTTAGGTAGTAATTGTGTTCATTACAGAGGTAGGTTGATTCTTAAAACGTCATATGATGGTCACCGTTTAGCATCCGTGCAAATATTCTCAGAAATACAGTTTCCGCCTTTCAGTAGAATTAACAATCCATTTCCATCGTAGAATATGAGGGTTACTCCTGTGGTATACGGAAAAAGTTTCAACTGTCATGTGAAAACCTGTCATGTCTGGCCAAAACTGGCGCACTTGGTGAAAGTCTCCAAGTCACCCAGTTTTAAGAACCCTTCATTTTTCCCAACCATAAGAAGGCGAAAATGGCACTATCAGTTACAATATTTCTTCTGACCCTGTAGCCAGACAACGCAAACCCCGAAGCAATTGGGGTGGAAGTCCCATGTGTACGGCAGCAGAAACATGGGTGCGCAGCAGTAACGTCCTAGCAACATCAGTATAGGCGATGTGCCGCTTAGCAAGACTGGGGATGGCAGGCTCATCCCCTGTCATGTTTATCAAGGCCGACAGATAACCGATAGACAGAAAATGCGAGTGGATGCGAAAAGTCTTATAAAGCATGCTTAAATGAAAACGATAATAATAAATCATTACTTTCCAATGATAAGCACCTATCACACTCTTAGAATGAAGAGAATTTAGCATTAAGTCAAAAATTAGTAAGGTCGGTTGGGGAAAAACGGGAATGCATATCCTTTACACTGTATCAAGAACCAGAAAAAATTCTAAACAACGCATATTCTCAGCTGCACCAGTGCTTAACGACCACGCAAAGCCGCTAAAGGCGATACCATTTGAACCTCGCAGTTAAATTGTGAGATTAAAATAAATCCCAGTAGGCGCATATGCATGTATGGTCGACACCGACCCCTGTTTGTCGGGTATTTAATCAGAAAACAGATGATCCATTCGCGTAGCCCAAATCAGGTGTGTGCATGAAAAGTATTCTAGTTACTACAAAATCTGCCTATTTGCGAGCGCTAACCCGTTAAACACTCTTTTGACCGGCAAGTGCACAATTAAAGATTCAAAAGCTCGCGCTCTCCTAAGGCCGTACAAAACACTATTAAGAGCAGTAAAACAGTGATACAGGATCCGGTAAAATCCATTATCAAAGACAGCGTATAATTCTTATGAAAGCATCTATTTGCTATAAAACACGAACATAAGGGCATCTATTATTTTGAAAATGCAGTTCCCCTTTGCTGGTCAGGTTTCAATCAGTTCTCGACTCGTCTTGTTTCCGGTTCAGACAGTTATCTTTGCAGCGGGGAATCTAAATTAATGATAGCTTTCGTTTGTGTGGCCAGAAACTGGAAATAATTTGTCCCTCGGTTGCACGGCCAGATTATGATAATGTGTACCTGATCCAAGCAGACGCTTAGTTTGAACCGGATGTTTGCAAAGACAACATATTTATGGAATACAATGCACTACCCCAGACGGTTCTTTTAGGCTGAATCATTGTTGATTCCAAGAAAACTATTGCACGTGGTGGCTTTCAACCGAAGTAATTCTAAAAGGCACTCTGACGTAGTGTATCGCATTACCTACGTACGCTGTCCTTGTAAAAACACCTGTCAACTATAACGCATCTCCGAATCCCATATCAATGATCAGAAGTTGGTTGTGCGATGGGTTGAGGAATAATTGCAAGTATTTGGCCACACCAACAAAAAGGGCCATACGTTTAACCTGACAGTCCTCAGGATAATCGCGCACACCGCAAACAAGACGAATCGAGAAATATTTACATCCTAAGTTACAGATAGTAAATCCACCAATGGGTGTCTCGAGTTGTCCCCTCCGTACAGCGCTCTGCGCAACCACTTCCAGTCTTGCGTATTTGATAATTGTTTTGGGCTTAAACGTCTACAATTTTAGCCTGTTTGCTGCGTCTCAGAATAATACTAATAATAAATTGTATACTCAAGGCCCAAGGGGCCCTTTCATTACAAACACTTTCGCGCGCGCTTCAATTTGCGGTTTAAATTTCTCGTCCTCCGTGGGAAATATTATTTTCGGGATT